CTCCATGCACATGACTAGAACTCAATCATGCCTGTAGGTCGGATTAAAAAAATAAAATGTGTAACCGACCTACAGCTGTCGTAGGTCGGATATAGCAATAGGTCAGAAAGTTAGTAGGTCGGAAGTTCAGTATAGAGGATGTTGCGTATAGACGATGCAACATTACCTGCCATTACCCACATTCTTCAGGTCTATGATGAATGTTTGTGTGATATAAGTTTTATTTTCAGAAATATGGACCAAATATTAGGGAAGAGAAAACATGGTGAAAATATGGAAAGTCTTTCTGTGAAAAGGTAAGTTCTAAGCACTCTTGACTTTTTTCTTTAAAAATTATTTCTCCTTTTTATTGAAGGTTTTATTGCTGAAATTGGACTTTTTTGTCTTTTTTGGAGGAATGATTTTGAGAATTGTTTTTTTAAATCATTCAATGATTGACGACCATGAAAAATGTAACAAAAATTATTCTACAGTAAACTAATTAGTTGTTTAGAAACAGGTTATGAAAATAAAAATTAACTCTTATCATCGAAATTAAGTAATCTTATTATAGTTTTTTGATTTCTGGAATATCATATTGTTTTTTTAACATTTTCTAGAGATTTCCTGTAATTTTTATTTGAAAAGACGACATTTGAATAATTTGAAGAAATCTGCGAATAAATTCGTAAAGAATAAGAAATTATTGATTTTGACTTTGATTTATTGACAAATTTCTATTGAGAAGTTTGTTCCTAAACATCCAATTAGTTTATCGTAGAATTTTTGTTACTTTTCTATAATCGCTGTATTTGATGTTGTTAAAAGGCAAATAGAAATACCTTCAGCATAAAGTACAACTTATGAAGTAAAGTACGTCTGTGGAAGTGTGTAAATTGGAAATCCGAGTTTATTTAAAATCATAACTTAAGTTTAAAAGTCTTTTTTTATTCCACAGTTCTTATGCCCCACTGGATACATTTTTTTTAATCGTTTTTTACAGTCTATTATATTAAAAATAAAATATCTTTTCGAAATGAGCATTTGAGTTGGGACTTCTGAAAGGCCTTTGATTTTTTATCTATTAATATTATAAACCAGAGCTTCGTCTGTACATATTTCAAGCAGGCTGTTAAAACTGTTATGTAGGTACAGTTCACACAGCATGATGTTAAATGCAGCAAGTAATGTTGAAACCATCATAACATTTACTCTTATTTAAACAAAATCGTTGGGGATAATCTGACTAAAAGCATCTATAATTTAACATGAAAATAAGCTTGATCGCACAGTTTTTTATGAGTGGTGCACAATTTTGATAAATAAAATTAAGAGTTTTCAATCATTTGAACAGGCACAGGAAGTTAAAAAGTTGAATGTTGTGAAGATTATATTCGTTCAAAAACAGAGGAGACATTGTATGTCCAGTAGGACACAGAGCCAACATTGAATCCATAAGATCAGATGGTTTACGATCTCCAATACCAGGCATAGAGCGTATCATTTCAGCTTTCTCGAGATCAGTATGGGTATATTTCTTCAAAAGACGGAGTTTCAGAGCAGTGTATGGATTTTCATCAGGAACATGTTCAAAAAAATCTGTTAGAGTAATAGCTACATCATTCTGAAGAGCTGCTAGAAGGTGATGATATTTAGTGATCTCTGCAGTAATATTCCTGAGTACAAACTGTAATTTAGCCTGTGCAAACCATATGTTGGCTCCGGCAGCCCAGAATTGGGGCAATTTCATGAATACAGCATTTGCTTTAGCCATCTTTCTTACTTCGGGGTCACCACTGAAGATTATATATTTACTGATATTTTTAGGATATAAATAATAAATATATTACAGATTCTATAAATATGTTGAGAATTAAGCTTGAAGATCTTCTCTTGTTCCTGGTTCTGATCAGACCTGGCTACTGGATTCTCTTTTCATCCTTCCCGTATTTTATCCGTCCATCTCTTACGGATTCTTAGTTTGTGATCTCTTCAATGTCCACATTTCCTCAAATGCCACTAATTTTGAAGGTGGGGTCACGCCTCTAATTTTAAAGATATTTTTTAGGTTTAGCATAAAGGTCAGATTAATGGGATTAACTCTTGGAATGTATTTTCAAAATGTTATAGACGAGGCTTTTCGCGTCCATCTTCTATTTAAATCGTGAACATTTTCTCTTTCTATACGTTGTAAAATAAAATCAAACAACAAGTTTCATGGATTTTATAAAAAAATCGTGGATTTTCAAAATTTTCAAAAATCGAATTTTGTTAGTGGTTTATTTTTGAAAATTCGATCATTTATAAACTTTCCCTGGGGTCATGTGAAGTCCCACAAAAATTTGGGCCTGATTGGCAGATTTTATCAAAAAAATCGTGGATTTTCAAAATCAAAAATAATTTAATTCGAGCATTGGCCCTGATTGGTTAAGCCGTTTTGACGATTTTTGAATACAAACAGACAGACAAACAAAGTATATAGATAGATAAAAATTATCTGAATTATTTTTTATGATTTGATAGTTACTTTTAAAAACATTTATTCCTGTTTCGATGATTTTTTTATAATGAAGACGACATTTTCATATTTTCCAGGAATGTTCGAAAATCCAGCGCACGCGAAATATTATTTAAAAAATAAATAAAAATTTTATGGAAAATAATCAATGACTATTGGTTGTAATATCTAAATGATTTGTTTAGAATAAAATTGATTATTTTACGATCCGAGTTGAATGTTGCAACTTTCTGAATTCATATGGACGCTACGGTTTTCAGCATAAGACGTTTTTAACAATTTTCTCCATATAGACGAAACAGATAAAAGTAATATTTGTATGTAACGATCAAAAAGCACTTACTTTTCGCTGTAGGCCTATACCCCCTTTCATTTTTGGCGAACGCTCACTTTATAGTAAGGAAGACAATAAGAATGAATATTGAACAGGCGTTTTTATTCAACTTTGGCATTAAAACCAGGGATCTTACTAAAATCAAGGTTTAAATCAGGGTTTATAGAGAAATTTCTTTTAGTAATTAACATACTAAATGTGTAAATACTAGCTTACACCAAAGTCAAAAGGGAGCAGATTTTAAACCCGCGGCAACCAACAAAAGATTATTTAAACCTTCTCGTTAAAATATTTGCTTTATTTTTACCAAATTATCATCTATCACAATATTTTTAAGTAAAATCTTAGCTCACATGGTTCATCTTCATACAGGAGGCAGAGATATAGAATTAATTAATTCAAATTAAAACAACATGTTTTCAACCCTGAACAGTGTCTAGACCCTTCCCCTTCATCCCCCCCTGTACCAATCTAACTAATTACAATTTTTGGAAGTATATAAAAAAATTAATGAACGTTTTTTAATATCGGACAAAACAAATCCTTGAATTTAATAATTATTAATTTAATAGTTTTTAGTTGCACCCTTGTTTAAATATATCCTATATAAAGACAGGATGAGGAGTAAGATACTCATATCTTAAACACGCAGCCTCACTCATCTCTCAGGTACTATACAGTCCTCAACTTTTTTCTTCTCTGTATACATTTTGCTTATCTGTTTTATTCCAATAAACGACAAAACGGGTTAAATCCAACGATGCTCACAGGACCCCAGGGATGGTTTATGCAAACCTGAAAATTACATTTTTTAGTTAATAAGACATAAGACATAAGATACAATTAGGGTGACTCGCAAAAATTCTCCCAAATAAAGATTTAATCAAAACTAGTTTAATTTTAAAGGATAAAAGTTTAACCTCCCAGTTCGTAATTTAGAAAGATTAGACATGTAACTACGCTTTCAGTCTTTTATCATAACATATTTTATTCTTTGCAAAATTCTTGTTTACACTGAACAGCTTGTGCGGACTATTATAAAGATTAAGTTGAGATTTACAATTTTGTTAAGATAATAGTTTTTGAATTAATTAGCACATTACTTATGAAAAGTATAGTACACTACCATATTAAATGGATAGATCGACCTTGGAAGTATTATTCATTATTGGTCCGTAGACGGAATAATACTATACATTCTGCTTACCATGGGATGATAAAGATTAAGATAATAGTTTTTCTGCTTAACATGGGACTGGAAAGTAAATTTAAGGTGTAAAGTATATTACGCAGGGGTAGGCGATTATATCATAACAATGAAAACGACTTTCAATTTTGATTTAAATCAAACTGTTGAACAGCATGGATAAGCATAAACATAGAAGTTAAGATTTGATTACTTGTAAACTTTTAATTGCAAAAAACCTTATTAACGATCAAAACTTAAATAAAAAGGTCGTTCTCATTGTATTGATATAATCCTCTATTACTATAGTCCATATTAGGTTAACTCTGTATTATGATACTGTATATATATATATATGCTAAATAACGGCTTGAACTGTTTTCTTTTTCTTTTGATTATCATTTCTTGTTTAGATATGTTTGGTGTGAGTGTACAACTATTGTTCTTTGTACTGTCCTCTACTCTTGTGCATTGTAATCCGGGAGAACTTGTGATTGATCAGGATACTCAGGATCATCTTGATCTTTCAGATACCAAGGTTAGATAATCAGGATACTCAGGACCATCTTGATCCTCGAGATACCAAGGTTAGATAATCAGGATACTCTGGACCATCTTGATCCTTCAGATACCAAGGTTAGATAATCAGGATACTCAGGACCATCTTTATCCTTCAGATACCAAGGTTAGATAATCAGGATACTCAGGACCATCTTGATTCTTCTGATACCAAGGTTAATCAGGGTACTTTGGACCATCACAAGATCCTTCAGATACCAAGGTTAGATAATCAGGATACTCTGGACCATCCTGATCCTTCAGATACCAAGGTTAGATAATCAGGATACTTAGGACTATCTTGATCCTTCAGATGCCAAGGTTAGTTAGATGAGGATACTCAGGACCATCTTGATTCTTCTGATACCAAGGTTAATCAGGGTACTTTGGACCATCACAAGATCCTTCAGATACAAAGGTTTATCAGGATACTTGGGACCATCTTGATATTACAGATACCATGGTCCGGTGGGAAATTAAGTTAAGTTGGCAGAATATAGATGAATGTAGATGTAAATGTTTATGGTACGGTGGTAGGCGATTAAATCAATATAATGAAGACTAATTTTTTATTTAAGTTTTAATTTTTAACAAGCTTTTTAGAACTACAAACTTATAAGAATTAAAGAGAAGCTTTTTGAATTGACAGCTCCACTTTGTTTCCATGTTTTTGTGTATTCATGCAGTTTAAAAGCTTGATATAAATCAAAATTGAAATCGATTTATTGATATAGTCGCCTACCACCGTCATACTGACTCTATATAGGATTATGGTTCGGATCTGATTGGTTTAGAACTCCTGGATCTGGATCAACTGGAGAAGGATCTCAGGAGAAGAAAAAATCTGATCAGGAAATATATTTAATTATAAAATAATGAACAATATTTGAAATGATGAAAATTCTTTTTATAAAATTCCAATTACTTTATTTTTATTTGTATGAATACAAATCCGCTTGATCATATTCTGTACGGAATGGCTTGAGCAATCCTGAAATTGTGGGATTTTTTAATAGTGAGTTCCAGCTTGTTAAAAGCTAATATTACTTTTCTAATTGAATAATCAAATATGAAAAATTTGATATCCAGAGGGAAATCTCTTGAAGAGACAAATTATTATAGATATTGTAGTAAAATATTTCCAGTAGGCCTAAATTCAAGGACACGTACAACCCAATTTCGCAGGTTTTCATGGTAAAACCTTCCTTATTCTTCACCTTAATAAAGTTTTTAGATACAGGGTTACCCACAAAGGATGAAACTGTAAAGACGACCTTAAACTCTCTAAATATGAGTTGCACTGAATACAGTCTTGTAATAGGTTATACAATTATTTAGCAAAGAGAGAAACAAGTTTACAGTTGCTGGGAGTCATGAATATTAACTTATAAAGAAACGGACATTCTGTACATGGAGTCCTTTAATACGATTTTATGATTAAGAAAACTCACAGGATAAAGAAAAACTCTCTTATTACTTGAAAATAATAAGTTTACAAAAAAATTGTTAATCCTTTATGGGTAACCCTGTAGCAGCTATGGGTCTGATCTAAAAATTAAGACAATATTAAATTATAAATGCACACAGTGGTATATGGCATGGAGTTAATCCTCGTTTTCTGATGAGCCAGGGAACTCCGTACAACCAAGGTAAAAAAAAATTCATTCAAAATATATTGTTTTATTGTCTTGATTTGAAAAACTGTTTTATTTAGATGAGCTGAATCAGATGGACTCCATTGGTAGAGTTGGAGTTAAGCGTGCACCTTCTTTCCCTTCTCATAGGGATAGAAAATGTGGTCTTGGATACACAAGCTGTTATTAGTGGATATATCAGCTGTTTTTCTGGATATATTATCTGTTTAGTAGTGGATATATCAGCTGTTTGTGCTGGATATTTTAGCTTTTTAGCAGTGGATATACCAGCTGTTTGTACTGGATATATTAGCTCTTTAGTAGTAGATATATCAGCTGTTAGTAGTGAATATATCAGCTATTAGTAGTGGATATATTAGCTATTATTAGTAGATATATCTTTTGTTAGTAGTGGATATAGGAGCTGCTAGTAGTGGATACTGGATATGTCAGCTGTTAGTAGTGGATATATCAGCTGTTAATATGGATATATCAACTGTTGGTAGTGGATATATTAGCTGTTAGTATGGATATATCAGCTGTTAGTGGTGGATATATCAGCTGTTAGTATGGACATCTCAGCTGTTAGTAGTGCAGTATCAGCTGAAAGTAGTGCAAATATTTCAGCTCGATAAATTAGCTGTTAATAGCTGATATAACTGTTGTTATCTGATGTTTCAACTGTTAAATTAGTTGAAACACAAGCTGTAACTATTGCATATACCACTGTAATATTAATTTCATAAATAAATATCATCTATGTAATTTTTTAAAAGTCTTTAAATTAAGGTCTAAAAGTATGAAGCTATGTCCGTTTTTACTATCCCACAAATCTGTGTCTTGATTGTAACAATCAAACATGTTCTAAACTTGGTGCTTGATACTAACAATAAACAAAGGAATTGAGTCTGTCACAGTCTTTGATTTTCTAATCCTTATATCTTTGCAATCTGATGTCAAAGACTTAAGATATTTTAAGTATTCTGATAGATCAAATAATCTATGTTTGATTTTTCAATGTTTTGTACCTGCAGTTTGCAAAGATATAGGGATTATAAAATTTAAGTTTGTGGCAAAAACTCAACCCCGTTAAAACTTGGTTTCAGTCCAATAAATCTTGTCCTTGATAGTTAATTAAACAAGTTCAGAACTTGGTTTCGATCCATCAAATCTTATGACAAATAGTAACAACAAAACAAGATCTAAACATGGTTTATAGCCCAACAAATCTTTTTCTTGATAGTAACAAGAAAACAAATCAAAACTTGGTTTCAATCCAACAAATTCTGTCTTTTATTAAATGTTATTTTTTTCTATTTTACAAATCTTGGCTTTGATAGTAAGAATAAACCAGACTTTAAATTTGATTTAATCCAACAAATCTTGTTTTTCAAATAAGAGAACACTAATCTTGGTTCCGATTAAACAAATCTTGTTTTCCAAATACGAGAACACTAATCTTGGTTCCGATTAAACAAATCTTGTTTTTCAAATTAGAGAACACTAATCTTGGTTCCGATTAAACAAATCTTGTTTTTCAAATTAGAGAACACTAATCTTTCCGATTAAACAAATATTTCCCTTGTAGTAACAGTAAACAAGTTCTATACAGATTAATGGTTTATATATCACATATTTGATAGCTGCTCCACTTTTTAAACAGATTAATGGTTTATATATCACATATTTGTTAGCTGCTCCACTTTTAAAACAGATAAATGGTTTATATATCACATATTTGATAGATGCTCCACTGTTAAAACAGATTAATGGTTTATATATCATATATTTGATAGCTGCTCCACTGTTAAAACAGATTAATGGTTTATATATCACATATTTGATAGCCGCTCCACTGTTAAAACAGATTAATGGTTATGTCACATATTTGTTAGCTGCTCCACTGTTAAAAGATTGTCAGCAGGTAACTCGAAAGTTTTACTTTTATCTTATTTTAAGTTTTGGGTTATCATTGGTTTTTTGATGCGGTAAGGATTACTCGCTGGATTACAGAAAGCTGGAAGATAATAGTATAGGGTGTCTCACGAAACAGGACGGTAGAAAAACCAATTGAAAATTGTCTATAAAGTTTGAATTTATTTGGGACATTAAGTGTTTAATTCTTGAAAAAATAACCACAATTCCAGTTTTTCTAAAATGTGGTCTGCCTTTTTTGTGAAGATTTCAATAAAACCAAATTTGTCAAAATCTGAACGAAATTTTCGTTTCTCCGGTTATATTGAAAGCACAAAAAAGGCAGACCGTATTTTGGAAATGCCAGGAGTAAGGGTATAGTGGTATACAGTTCATACAGTAATTACTACCTCTAAAAAAAACCATTTCTACTGGCAGCGCCGGGCACTTCAGCTTGTAGTTGATATATTTCAATTGCCATCTGCAAGGTCTCCATATATTGTGTCGTCGACAAGGTCTCCATATATTGTGCCGTCTGCAAGGTCTCCATATACTGTGCCGTCTGCAAGGTCTCCATATATTTTGTCGTCTGCAAGGTCTTCATATATTGTGCCGTCTTCAAGGTCTCCATTTATTGTGGCGTCTGCAAGGTCTGCAAATATTGTGCCGTCTGGAAGGTCTCCATATATTGTGCCGTCTGCAAGGTCTTCATATGTTGTGCCGTCTGCAAGGTCTCCAAATATTGTGCCGTCTGCAAGGTCTACATATATTGTGCTGTCTGCAAGGTCTCCATATATTGTGCCGTCTGCAAGGTCTCCAAATATTGTGCCGTCTGCAAGGTCTCCATATATTGTGCTGTCTGCAAGGTCTCCATATATTGTGCCGTCTGCAAGGTCTCCATATATTGTGCCGTCTGCATGGTCTCCATATATTGTGCTGTCTGCAAGGTCTCCATATATTGTGCCGTCTGCAAGGTCTCCATATATTGTGCCGTCTGCAAGGTCTGCAAATATTGTGCCGTCTGCAAGGTCTGCAAATATTGTGCCGTCTGCAAGGTCTCTAAATATTGTGCTGTCTGCATGGTCTCCATATATTGTGCCGTCTGTAAGGTCTCCATATATTGTGTCGTCTACAAGGTCTCCATATATTGTGCCGTCTGCAAGGTCTCCATATATTGTGTCGTCTGTAAGGTCTTCATAAATTGTGCCGTCTGCAAGGTCTGAAAATATTGTGCCGTCTGCAAGGCCTCCAAATATTGTGCCGTCTACATGGTCTCCAAATATTGTGCCGTCTGCAAGATCTCCAAATATTGTGTCGTCTGCAAGGTCTCCAAATATTGTGCCGTCTGCAAGGTCTCCAAATAGTGTGCCGTCTGCAAGGTCTCCATATATTGTGCCGTCTGCAAGGCCTCTAAATAGTGTGCCGTCTGCATGGTCTCCATATATTGTGCCATGTGCAAGGTCTCCAAATATTGTGCCGTCTGCAAGGTCTCTAAACATTGTGCCGTTGGCAAGGTTTCCATATATTGTGCCGTCTGCAAGGTCTCCATATGTTGTGCCGTCTGCAAGGCCTCCAAATAGTGTGCCGTCTGCATGGTCTCCATATATTGTGCCGTGTGCAAGGTCTTCATATATTGTGCCGTCTGCAAGGTCTCCATATACTGTGCCGTCTGCAAGGTCTCCATATATTTTGCCGTGTGCAAGGTCTTCATATATTGTGCCGTCTGCAAGGTCTCCATATACTGTGCCGTCTGCAGGGTCTCCATATATTTTGCCGTCTGCAAGGTCTTCATATATTATGCCGTCTGCACGATTTCTCAAAGATGAGAAGTATTTATCAATTATCATAAATAGTTCCTAATTATGACTAATAAAGCGGTATATAAAACTTTAAACATTCTTTACATGAAAAGAAAAATATTCAGAGAAAAAAAATTGAATTGAATTTGATTTCATCTTTTATGATTTAAGGAATACCTTTTTTTGTAGTTCAAATTAAATCTAGAAAACTTGTATAATTTATTGAAATCTTAACATTTTTCAGAAAAAGGTTTTGTTAAAATCAAAGATTTTCACAAAACAAACTAAAATTACTCCAGAAATATTTCTCCAAATATCTGCCTTTCTGCGTAAGAAATGTTTAAAGTTTTAGCATAAATCCTATAAACCGCTTTATGAGTCCATATATGTTTTTAATCATGACAATCAATGAATAAATCTAATCTTTAGTAAAATTCTGACGCTACTACGGTAAAAAAATTGTTAACATTATTCATTAAACATAAAAACTAAGATTTTAAAAAAGCTGTTCTGTATGGTGGAGGCTTGTTCACTGCATAGCGGAGGCACGGTCTGCATTTAACCCAAATTACCGAGTAACAATATTTATTCATTTCTTACACAGGTTTCAAATGTCAAAACTTTTGACTCTATTCTCTCGTAGTTCGGTTAAACCTTCAATGTTCTTTCTTCTAAAAACGCAATATCAGGGAGGGGGGGGGGTGTTCCACGGCCTTTTCACAAGAATTTGCCAAAGTTTTAATTGCAAAAAGTTATTCACTTTAAAAAAAAAAGTAATATTAGCTTAGAACTACTCTGAGAGGTAACAGAAGTCCTCTGATAGAGAACAGAACTACTCTGAGAGAGAACAGAACTACTCTGAGAGAGAACAGAACTACTCTGAGAGAACAGAACTACTCTGAGTGGGAACAGAACTACTCTGAAGGGAAACAGAACTCCTCTGAGTGGGAACAGAACTACTCTGAAGGGGAACAGAAATCCTCTGAGAGAAAACAGAACTACTCTGAGTGGGAACAGAACTCCTCTGAGTGGGAACAGAACTACTTTGAGTGGGAAGAGAACTCCTCTGAGTGGGAACAGAACTATCTCTGCAGAAGGGGAACAGAACTCCTCTGAGTGGAAACAGAACTACTCTGAAGGGAAACAGAACTCTTCTGAGGGGGAACAGAACTACTCTGAGAGAGAACAGAACTACTCTGAGGGAGAACAGAACTCCTCTGAGAGAAAACAGAACTACTCTGAGTGGGAACAGAACTCCTCTGAGTGGGACAGAACTACTCTGAAGGGGAACAGAACTACTCTAATAGGGAACAGAACTTATCTGAAGGGGAACAGAACTCTTCTGAGGGGGAACAGAACTACTCTGAGTGGGTAAAGAACAAATCTGAGTGAAAACAGAAATACTCTGAGTGAAAACAGAAATACTCTGAGTGGGAACAGAACTCCTCTATTTATCTATCTATCTATTTAGATAGATAGATAGATAGATAGATAGATAGATAGATAGATAGATAGATAGATAGATAGATAGATAGATAGATAGATATAGATAGACAGACAGATAGATAGATAGATAGATAGATAGATAGATAGATAGATAGATAGATAGATAGATAGATAGATAGATAGATAGATAGATAGATAGAACGATAATAGAACCTATATAGAAATATAAGATAGAAAACATACTGGACCGTTGAATATAAACAGTTAAAGAAGGAAAGAGATAAGCAGCAATACTGCATTCTAAGAGATAGATAAACAGACAGAGAAAGTAAAGAAAAAACAAAAGAACAAAAATATAATAGTTATATTTGTGAACCCATCCCGATTAGCGAGCTAAGTTCATAAAGGATTCCTTTAGAATTTAAATACCATTTTAACCAACGGAATAAAGTAGTAATCACAAGTTACACAGCAAAAGATAGTTAAAAGCAAAAATTAAGGAGAATATTAAGCATTCACTTACAGGATTAAAAATTTGAGAACACCAATCAACAAATTGAGATTTTAAAAGTTTTTTTAAAAAAGCAGAAACGTATCAAAATTTTGAGGAAACAGTTAAAAAAATTTGTGGAAACCGATCAATTTTAAAGTTTCGAAAGTTTCCGTTTTTTACGTTTCCATCTGAAGGCGTTTCCATGTTGTTCCATCTCCATGTTGTTCGGTTTCCATGTTGTTCGGTTTCTATGCTGTTCGGTTTCCATGTTGTTCAGTTTCAATGTTGTTCGGTCTCCATGTTGTTCGGTCTCCATGTTTTTCGGTTTCCATGTCAACATGATGTAATCATTGCAATACGTCCATCCATATTTAATGCCCTACCGTGGCCAGATTTAAAAGAAATAGTTATGTCTGCGAGAAATGGAAACATTAAAACACATAATAATCGAAGGACGAAGATTCCGAAGTGGCTAGGACAAGAAAATGAGGAGATTAAGACTCGGACGAGAAATTGTTGTGGCTGGCCTTCCTTCCCTCCCCTGTATAAAAGAAACTCAATATCTTTATTGACAAGGAAATATAATATTTCTGGAAGAAGTTGTTGCATCTTTCCCAGCTTTTTCTTTCATTTCTTTTCATACTCAATATTTTTTATGATAAGTTGTCTGGGTTAAGTTAACTCAAGTGTTTATCTTCGCCATGTATTCTTAATGTTAGTGACAAGTTATTATAAGGTTTTCGAAAACCAATTGGCTTACCGTCATCAGCAGGCCTGCAATTGGCTTACCGTCATCAGCAGGCCTGCAGTTGGCTTACCGTCATCAGCAGGCCTGCAGTTGGCTTAAGGCCTGCAATTGGCTTACCGTCATCAGCAGGCCTGCAGTTGGCTTACCATCATCAGCAGGCCTGCAGTTGGCTTACCGTCATCAGCAGGCCTGCAATTGGCTTACCGTCATCAGCAGGCCTGCAGGCTTACCGTCACCAGCAGGCCTGCAGGTTTACCGTCATCAGCAGGCCTGCAGGTTTACCGTCATCAGCAGGCCTGCAGGTTTACCGTCATCAGCAGGCCTGCAGTTTACCGTCATCAGCAGGCCTGCAGGTTTACCGTCATCAGCAGGCCTGCAAAATGGAAAAAAGAATTACTTAAATATTATTTTTTAGCCAATATGATGACAAAATATAAATATTCCAATAACCTTACTTCTTGATCAAACACTTCTTGTTTGCTTAATTCTGTACCTTTGAAATTAACATTAGCTTATCAATTGGAAACTGTAGCACTGCCCGTAATGTAAACATTATAAACTATCAAACCAAGGACCTCCCCTGGAGCAAGTATAGTGTCTGTGGGTTAGTACCTCAAACACCATTCTTAAGCCATGGTGAAGGAGACTAATAAAAATCCTAAAAAGGAACAACTCAACTTATTGGAATCTTTTAGGAGGTAATTGAATAAAATATAGGCGTGTATCGGGCCTAATCCCCCACCCCCTTTGTCAGTGAATTCTATGGTTTCAAAGAGGGTTTCAGGCCCCAACAGGTGTTGAACCTCATCCTCTGGAACGAAAAAAAGTATGACCCCTTTGGGAAAATTCTGTATTTATAGATAAATATAAATAGATTACTGAGGGGGTACGCTCCACTCTTAATTAAATTTATTTTAATTCTTTATTGTTATGTTAATCCTGTTATTCGGGCGTATAACTGCATATTTTTGTGCGTTTTTGCAAATAACAAATGTGCCTAGTACATATTTGCCTATAGTACTCATTCGCCAAGTACACATTTAGCTGTAGCCTGTATAACGATGTTAGTAATCCACAAATGTAACATATTATCCGGTTTCACAAGCGTAATTTTTAAATTACGAAATAAAAAGTTGTTGGATATTTTTTCATTTGATAGGTCATCAACCAATCCTGTAGCCATGCCAGGTTGCAAAGGATAAACATTATTGTAGAAAACAAACATATTAAAAATTTAGATGTTCATATCAACGAGGTTATAGTATATAGAATGATGATGTACGATAACCCTTTACTAATTGTACAGGCCATGTACTTCACTTCCAAAGGTCAATCTGTATATTACAGTACTCGGGGATGAGTTCTGAAAATATTTAAATGGAAAATTTGTTTTCCATGTAACTATTAAACTTTATCGTGTGCAGGATTCCATTTTCTTTTATAGAGCAATATTTCATCGTTAATAAACTGTTCTGAGATACAAAACCTCCCCATACACTGGAACTCCGAAAGCGTAATGCATAATTGATATTTGTACTGTATGAGTACGCCATAATCTCTTAACATCCTTTATCAGTAAGCTGTACTAAGTGTACACCCAGGCCAATATATACACACGGAGAGGTAGCTAACTTCCAGCCCCTCTGGTTCATATAGAATATTTCATTAAGTGCTTAATTGAAAAGGGACATAGTTTTTTTTTGCTCATTAAACTTACAATTTCTTTTACATTAGAGGATACGCAACTAGGGCTGGGCGTAATCCTATGTTTTTAATCTTTGTTCCAAGTTCTAGAACGAGGGCCTTTAGCTGATCGTTAATTTCTGTCTCGTACTTTTATACAATCGATCCTTTCTTTAGGTTCAGGGTCGAGAACGGTTCCAGCCGTTCGTTAACGATGAATAATTGTTAAGGATAATGAGCGTTTGTGATTTTTAACACTAGTTTATTAATAACAATAGACTATATTTTATGTTGTCGATTAATAAAAATACTTAATGAGGGTTTGGTGAAACTTACATCAAACTAAAGTAAATTGAAATCTTAGGTTTTCAATCATAACTCTTTTTATTGAATTTGAAGAGCAATTGAGAAGAGAATGATTTGAATTATAAAATGTAACAAGATGAATTTGTTAGTTTCTCATACTTGTGCGTAAAACCAAAAATTAGAAGGCTACGAGGTCACAAAGTCAGGCCAGTAATGTAATGTTGACCTATGACCGGACAGAAAAGTCAGTGGTAGGGGGAGTGGGGGGGGGGTAGTGAAGTGCATAGGGAAGGTTTTCAAATATGTAGAGGGACAATACTGAGTTTTTGACACAAACTAAATTTACTAATCCCTGTATTGTTGCAACCTCATGGTGAAAACTTTTAAATTATCAAACTTGTACATATTTGATCTTACAACCTTCATGCTTTGACATATCAAACAACCCAGTTCCTTTCAACTTGATAATTCATAAACGTTCCTATTATTTCGCGACTTGTCTATGAGAACGAATTCCAGATTTAGAATCGTTCCTGATTTTAACGTCAACATTTTCAGACCGTTTTTTTACACATTACAGCTCGTTCCAAGTTTGGTAATTTATAGATATGTTCCAATATTTTTAAAGATGCGTTTTTAAGCATTCGTTAATTTTTAGAAACGATAAAATCGTTCTTGGAAATTCCGTTCGTTCCCGTGAAAAAACGATTGTAATGACTATTCTATTTAAAAATTGAATCCTCATAGAGTCGACTCTTAGAGTTAAATTTCGGAAATTTTATTATTATGACTTTCCAGGAATGTATTATTTTTTCTTTCAGATCAATCTAAAGAAATTTTTTAAACAATGCACCTAGAATCTTTTTTGCAAATAAATAAGACTAGTTGCTTGTGAAGTTGGGTTTTGAGAGGTTTCACATATTTCTTCAATTTTGCTTCTGTTACACAATGCATGAATAATGTTGACTGATTATGGCGGAAGATTTTTCAAATTTGTTAAATCGTTTAGTAACGAAGAATTGGTTTTTCACAATTTTATACTAGCAGATTGAAAGTGAATAACATTTAGAGTTTTGTCCAAGTTTGCAGATTTACTAGAGATTTTCTAAAAAGTATGCTAAAGTCTAGTTGCTTGGTTATGTAATAAAATTGATAGTTTAAGAATTTAAATAAATTCTGAAAAAATCTTTGACTCTTGCAGGTTTCAACATCAGGTTTTCTCAACAACTTCAGCTCATGGCTTTCATTGGATTATTGATGCTCCAGCATTGGGAGAGAAGATATTTTGGTTTATCCTTTCTATCTCGTTCTTTACAGTTGGTATTGTATTATCTGTAATTTCCATCAAGGAAAGTATAATAAGATTTAGTATCACAAATCTTATTTTGTAATTTCGATCTAAAATGTTTTTTTCCAGGGTGAAATAGACAATCCCAAATACACGACAGCGCTAGAAATAGAAGAAGGAGATACAGTGAATGGAATACCATTCCCTGATTTTGCTATTTGTGATCCAAATCCATTTAGCTTAGAAAAGGTGAGGAAATAGATTTGTAATGTCTGTGTAAATAAATGTTAAAGTATAATTAACAGTTCAAAAAGAATTACTAAAATATAAAAAAGTTTTAAAAACATTGTTAGGCACAAGAGGCAAATGTTAGTGAAACATTGTTAGCATATCTTACTAATTATGTTTATGTGGGAGTAGGTAAACTTTCATTCCTTTCTATAATTGTAGGCATAAAAAGCAGTCTTTTAAAATGACGTTTAGAAGAAAAAATATATTTTTAAAATTTATTTTATTTATTCATGTTTAAGATACTATTGAAAATATGACGTGTCGTTCTGATAAACTTGATGCAGAGTTTATTGATACTCTAGCCAGGTTTAATAATGATACAATCAAGCTTCTGGATGCTGTTACTAAGGAAACAATAAGAAAAATTAGTATAAGAAGAATTATCACCTGAAAATGAGCCATGAACGTTTCAATCGATTTATCAATCGTCTCAGCTTATTATTACAAAACCTTGTGCAATGGTCCCATTTAAAATATCAGAGCAAACAATTTAACAGCTTCGGCTATAGTCCTTAATTTGCTTAATTTCATAAAAGAAAGAGAATTGCGTAAGACTTTTTAGATCGGTATAAAGCCACCTAAAAGTTAAAAATATCTAAAGAAAGATAATGGCAGTGCCAAAGCAATCTTATTGTTACTGCTTAACAGACTTGTGAAGACATTTTGATATATTGTCAAGCAGGTATAATTAGAGGAGCAAACATCAATTTAATTGATTTTTTATTATACTGTTAAAATTTTATACACAGCAACACAATATCTGAAATCAACATAATTTTTTGTTTGTATCCAATAAACGTCAAAACAGCTGAACCGATTGGGCCCACATTTTGTGTGGGGCCTCAAATGATCCCAGGAAAGGTTTATAGATGCTCAGAATATTACAACAAGTTGTCTCCAAAAATTTTGAAAATCATCAAAAAACAAAATTTTATCGAAGAGAAAATGCTAATAGATTGAGCAACTATCAAAAGTTTAATAGAAGGTGGGCGCGAAGCGCCCTTATTGCATGGTATGATGCAAAACAAAACATAATTCTTATTACAGGATTCAACCCATACCACACTTCGGACTGTTGTTCCAAATATTTTAATCAAGGAAGGATTAAGAATCTCAATATAAAATTTTAACTGATTATGAGTCTATCTGAATTATATATACTTTCAATATCCATCTAAAACAAGTTATAATCAGACTGGTTTGACCTATTTAGGTTTATATATTTATCGCTTCACAAGTTAGGTTAATCAATATAACAAACAGCCCAGTCTGATAATGCTTCCTGTTTTAATCGATGTTTGAACGTATAGAAACATACATTTTGCCCATTTTTATATGTATTTCTTTACTTATCCCCATTATTATGTTTTTATTCTAATTTTTGACCTCAATTCTAGGAGAATACACTATGGATTTTAAGGTAAATGATTCATTTAAAATATAAATGAGTTTTTAAGGCGTTCTTGATAAATTTCTGGCCTAATTAGTCGACAATTTATTTAGTGCTATAGTACCCGAGGAAAGATGAACTACACTATTCTGTATGGGAATCGTATGTCCGGAATAACTATTATTGTTGATAGTGAAAGGAATAAGATTTTATTTCCCCAAGGTATAGCAATAATCATAAAGTCCTTTTTTTACTTATTAATCATAGTTTAGAAGTATAAAATGCAAAAACTTTTAAACTTTGCATAGATCTTGCTAGTTGGAAAACCAAAAAATATTCTGGAATCGGTGTCGCTGTTATTCCAAAGGTAACTGCAGAGTTGAAAACTTTTGAATTGTGGATATTGAGATCAAAGCATTATGTCCTTTTTTATTAATCTCAAGATTAATTTAATCTTTAGTTTGTATTCTGAAAAGTGTATAAAATTCAATAAATGAGTCTGGTAAGGATATCCAAAAAGAGAGAAAAAGGGCTGATTAGCAGGAAATTAAAGTGGCGCATTGGATTAAGCAATAGGGATTAAGGGCATCCAATTCTAAAGTTTCCAAATCAGATTTTACAAATTTTTTTATCTTTATATAGGTAAAAACAAAATACATTGAATAAATTTAGAACTAAAAATATTCTAATTTTTCAATTTGCAGAAATCTAGCATATTTTCTGCAGTTCAAAAAGGCGTAAAGGTAATGGAAAAACTAGGATTGGGTTAAATAAAAATTATTACACTAATGTTTCAAATTCTTAAAGCTCTTGTCCCCTGATTCAAACAATGATGTTATGATTACTAAATCTGTTATGGATAGAACTGCTGAAAAACATGGTAATATTTAATTGAAAAATAATACTTTATCAAAGTTTAAAATGGGGTCTGCCTAATTTACAAATTAATAGTATTTATTGTAAGACCAAAAATTTATTTTTCTTCTTAATTAAAAAGTTGCAACATTTTATAAAATTAAAAGCATGAGGAAGTCTTAATTAGCATAAAAAAAGAGGGAAAAGATAAGAATGTAAAATAAAAATGTAGATTTTAATAAAGTCATAAATTATTTCTCAAAGAAGATTAATAAGTTTTTATAAAAATTTCATTTTTAGGAATATTTATGAGAAATAAGAATGGTTGTGTAGATGAGGAGAATGAAGAATTTTATATGAATTTAGGCAACAATTTTTATTTACAACTGCAGACCAATTTTTTTCTTTAATTCAAGTTACCACATGACAATTTTTTTAGCCGTGATCTGTCGATAGTTTTCAGTCCCCTTTTGTGCTTGAACCTTGTGTTAAATTATAACAATGTATTTTATCCTACACGATAAAAACCATTACTGTGTCTCTCCTGACGCTAGTTTTTTATAGCCGTTTCGTTAACGGTTAGTTCGGACAATCAAGTTGACGTTAGCCTAAAAGGCAATAACGGAATGTTTGTTTCCTTAACAGCTTTTCCGGTTTTTTTTTTAAAGTTACCATTAGTTAAAAATCTCAATTTTATTATTGGCGTTAATGGAAGATATTCCGCCGTTAACGGTGGATATTTGCAATTAACGACATAAGCAGATAGGAATTGAGTGAAGTGCAAAAAAATCATTAACGGCTTGCCCCGTTAATGGTTGTTTGCAGTATTAATGGTGTTGTCAGTTGGTCAAACCTCCAAAACTTCCATAAAAATAGTTAACGGTTTGTCAGACTGGACAAGCCGTCACCACATTGCAAAAAAAAATCTTTAAAAGGTCCATCATATAAACCGTTTGTTTTCTTTTTAATCGTCAATTTTTTTAAGGGTTTTTGGCATTCCTTAATAAGCTCTTCTGTTAATTAACAAGCTTTAGCTGGCAATTAATGGTAATTTAACAAAGTTAAACAAAAAATTGATGCCTTGCAAATATTTGTTAACATACTGCAGGGTCATTCACATTTTAACCTACAAGTTCTGTTGAAACATTTCTGACATATCCTTTAGAAATTAAAGTCAGTTTTGTTTAACAAATCACCAAATTTTAGTCTCATATGTTTTGGCTGGGAGCCAAGGGGTTTGAATTTATTCGGAAGTATCTTAATCATTCAATTTTATTTTATGATATGGATACATTGATATATAAAAAAGTGTTTTACATAAAGTGGAGAAGAGCATTTTTAATTTGACTCTAAATTGTTTTTACATAGTGAGTCCATATAGTGAGCACTACTCTGCTGATCAATGTTTTCTTTACAACAAGCAGTTATCATACAACAGGCTTAATTTTTATTCAAACATTTAAATACATTTAATACAATTAATATCATATGATAATATGTTATTAATCCTAAACTTTATTTGATCAGTGATTTAAACTGCACTATCCCCATTCTCCCACCACCTGGAATTGCTAAGAAAAACTGTACACCACTTGAGTATATCAAGTACTATGATCCAAAATACAGGTTATTAACATAGTGAATTCAAATGTCATTAAAATGAGAGCTAACTAAAGATGTGATTTTTACTCAAAACATGATTTCCAGAAACTGCAGTTTCTAGAAAATCAAAACAGATATAGGGAGTCCCATGAAACATGATAGTTGGTGTATAGTTTAGAATGTCTTCTTATATAATTTTTTAATTCTTTGATACTATAAAGAGACATTTGTATGCTGGCAACAGGACGGTTTGGTTGTATACTTTAGTGCAGCCGGAGCCAGGGAGCATATAGTGTAAAATCAAACATGGCGGCACCACACCTTAATACAGAAGAAACAAAAAAATAGCAGTGTAGAGTTTGGGGTCTTTTTCCACTTCTTCCCCTCTCTCTCTCGCCGGAAACAAGAAAAATAGAAACATAGAAAGAAAAATCCTGAGAGGTTGGTAACCAGGAAAATGATATAGGGTTTTTACTCTGCCAGCTGCAATACTAGGCTGACTATGAGGAGTGGACTACTGTCGAAGATGCCACATTCTAAGACGGAAAGCAATAACTCTCCATCTTGTAATGTGCTACAAACTCAATGGAAAACATTTTCAAATGCCGCTTAAACTGGGAATACAGTGTAAAACGTGGGCAAATGAAGTGTTTTTAACCAAGCATTCCTAATACCCCATTCCTCACTTATACTCAACTTCCTATTACCAACTCAACTCAACATTACTGAGAGCTACTCTATGATACCTTAAAGCGAGATATTAACAAGAAACAAAATCAGCCAACATATGATCAATAATGCAAAATAAAACAAGAAAATGGATATTTTAAGAAAAATAGATATCTTAAAAAAACAACAGCTGCTATCATCCCATTATTTGTACAATTTTGAAATAAAATTTGTCAAAACCAATATTCAAAAATAAATGTTTGATACATAAAGAGAATAATAAAAAATATTATAGGTGAGTTATATATTATAGTAAAATTGATTTCAAAGTAAGATATATTTTAGCAAAAGATTTAAATATCCTTTATACAGTGATATGTAAGACCACATTTAAAACTATTTACCAAGTGTCTTGTCTTCTGGGGCATCCTGTACATTAGCTGAATAGGAAATAAGAAGCATAGGAAGATTATAAACTTTTTATATTTTAAAGGGACTGTAAGTTTAATTTCTAGTGACCCTCATGCAAAGATGGCAATGCCCAATTTACAATGGCTCCCCTTGAAACCTTTATCTGATCAAAAATGTGGAAAATAATGTTGTTTATCCAAGTAGAAAAGTGTTTGATGCGGATGAATTCTCCATCATTTAAAAGAGAAGGCTTGATATTGATAAGAATTGCGCAAGTCAATTTCACAGAGAAACCACAAATAAAAAACAGTAAAAAAAAACAAAAAAAAAAACATAGATAACTATTTCATACTTCATCAAACAAAAATGTAAAGGGTGCCATTGTAAACCGGGAACTGCTATATGTCCAAGGAGAATCACTTTAAATTGTGCTTACAGTCCCTTTAATGCAGAGATCAGGGTAGGAAGACAATGACTACTACCAAATGTCTTACTGATTGTATAGTGGAGAATTTTGGATTAGAAATATCATCATCTGATATTACCAAGGTTTGTTGAACTACTATAATACCAGAGCCCGCGATTTATAGAATTTGGGGAAATCACAAGGGTCGTCAGCTGATTCATAAGTAAGTTCTGAGATGAAGCTTTAAACCTGGGTCTAAGGAATTAAAACCCAAGTCCAGGATAAAATCGCGGACTCAGATTTCTCGGTCATGCTAATACAACAATACACAAGTTTTTCAGGAAATGATAGACATGGTTGAAACACATACCAAGATGCCTAATTTAACTCTGGTTATGTTCACAATCTTTGTGAAGGGGATGGATCATTCTGTGTTAAAGTTTAATGGGCAGGTAGGCAGAACTACAGATTGATAAATATCCATAGATGGAGTTTTAAAACATGGTTTTTAATGTAAATATAATAATGGTATGCTTTATTTGATATTTCTAAATAAAAGAACTCGTTGTAAAATTGTCTAAGCTAAGGTTTTCATCAAAAAGTATCTCCGACCATATGCGATTATCTTTTTATATCAAGAGTTACCATTTGCATAACGCTAAAAGCGGGAAATGTGAAAGCACAAGAAAGTATTTCCGTTTAGTTCAATCCAAAAAAACTGTTGTGCTTCTGTAAAATAAAAAATCAATAAAAACAAGGTTGATGATCAAATTCAACAGATATTAATTAATAATTATAAACAATTTAATTTTGGTCATTTATATTTCATTTTGTTTAAACATGCATTTACTCATTCCTCCATTTCTAATAATTATGTTTACCAAAAAGTATTTGAATAAATTTTCCACAGAGCTTAAATGATTTGTTATCTACTGTTGGTGGGAACCTTGGACTTTGGTTTGGAGGCTCAATCATAACCTTTATAGGTGAATATATTGTTAAACTAGATTATTTTAAGATAAAACTTTATAGGAGAATATATTGTTAAACTAGATTATTTTAAGATAAAACTTTATAGGTGAATATATTGTTAAATTAGATTATTTTAAGATAAAACTTTATAGGTGAATCTATTGTTAAACTAGATTATTTTAAGATAAAACTTTATAGGTGAATATATTGTTAAACTAGATTATTTTAAGATAAAACTTTATAGGTGAATATATTGTTAAACTAGATTATTTTAAGATAAAACTTTTTATATCAGAGTGAAATTAGCAAAATTTTCACACACATAACAAATAAAAATCACAATTGAAAAAATAATTCCCTTTTTCTTATTAAAATATAAATTTTAATTTGCATTACAAACTTTAACTAAAGGAATTGAGTCTTTGTCACAAACTCTGATTTTCTAATCCCTATAATATAATATAATCCCTATATCTTTGCAACCCGAAGTCGTAAACCTTAGATATTTCAAACTATGATTGTTTTTAGACAAAACAATCTAAGTATGAAATATCAAAGGTTTACATCATGAGGTTGCTAAGATATTGGCATTCGAAAATTTGAGTCTGTGGCAAAGACTCAATTCCTTTGAATAATACACATACAAAATTTGCAATTAAAGTTCTCAAGAATTAGACAATAGACATCGCTGGATTAGATTATTTCTTTCTTTCTTTACATAAAGCTAAATATCTCCATATTATTTCAGAAGTGCTAATCTGTTCTCTGTTTTTCTTCTATTTAATGATTGGAAAAGTATTTGGTTGCCAAATATATGAGGGCTATCCTGATGGAGATCGTTAAGAAGAAACAATGCAAATTTTTCTTCTTCTTTTTATTAATTGATGTAAATCTATATGTTTTTAATACTTATAACCTTAAAATATAATGTATTTATTTAAACTTAAAGAGTGGGAAGAAAATAATAAAAGTGATTCTTGAAGGAGTTTTTATTACAACTTTATCTATGATAGGGGTTGAAAAGTATTAAATTACGCCCCTAACAGACTTAAAGGAAGTTTCTTATTACGCCCCTGACAGACTTAAAGGAAGTTTCTTATTACGCCCCTGACAGACTTAAAGGAAGTTTCTTATTACGGCCCTAACAGACTTAAGGAAGTTTCTTATTTGGTAGTTCATTTTGTTAGATTGCTGGTCTGTTAGATATGTGAACTCTCTTTACATATTTATATATTTCGATTTTTCATTTATTTTTAGGATTAATACAAATTATTATAGAAATTGACAAATATAATCTATTCGATGAATTCATTAATAACACAGTTTATAAATGTCTGTTTGTTAATTCATTTTATAGTAAAATGTTTAACAGTTTCAGTAATATATTTTTAAACTTCAATTCTGAATATCCTTCATATATTGAATTTATCAAAAATGTGACAATATGAAAAATGTTTCTTTGCTCCTTGAAAATACTCCCGTAGAAAAATAGAAGCAATATCTCTTTGTTTCTTGGCTGCCCATATTATACCATGTTAATAATTCATAGTCACAATTAATGTTTTCCCGGCTAGGATTTTTCAAAAAAATGACATAAAAAGATGTTTGATTTTTTCGAAAATCTTAGGAAAAGAGAAAGGCTACATTTCGAGTACATTTTTAGAGTTAAAAATGCATTTTAAAGCAAAATATTTCACCGACGACCCACAAATTTATTGACACTGTACCTTCGAATCAAATTGAATATTCTATTCTCTTTACTTCAAGTACCAGTTTGTAATATAATAAAAGGAAATTTTGCGGAAGAAAAAACAATTAAAAGCTTCGGAAATGGGACCGGGCACATTTTCGAATATAATAATGCATACTTTTAAAGAGTAAAACGGCAGTTTAGAGAAAAATGTTTTATCGACGACCCAACATTTACAAGAATTGTACCCACTAGAAGCACATTTTAAAATGACTGTAAAGGAAAAATGAAAGGGCGAATAGGATAAAACCTGAGAATCTCATGAAGACATGTAAGAAATGTTAAAAAGAAAGTGTGGCAATTTTATTCTTTATCATATACAGAGTGTCTCTGCGTTTAGGCTGTTTAGCCTACTAAATATTGTTGTATCGTGTTAAAGGGACTGCAAAAGGAAAAATGAAAGGGGGTAAGAGATGAAACCTGAGAATCTCAGGCGTTGAATGATACATGTAAGACTTCTATCTGATGTTCCTGTCTCGAGAAATTGATATAAAACTGTGGCAAAATATACGGTAATTCATATTTGCAGTTTTGTTTAAAGTTTTAGGTTTAAACAGATCATATTCAACAAATACGAAACCAATCTGAAAAAGACTATATCCTACAGAAACCTGAGAAGCTCAGGTTTGCTCCTGTTATAATTATTTTATTTTTATTTTGTATTTTTAATAGATATAATTGATAATATCATTACATTTACTCCGCATCCTCCATATTACGTTGCACCATAACTTGAGCCAAGGCAGTCCAGTATATTTGGTACGTGATTTCCATCTGTATCACATGACCTGCACTGTCATTGGCTGAAGTCCTGGTGACGTAATATGGACTATACGGACAATATGTAATAATATTATCATTTATATCTATTAAAAATAAAATTTGTAAATATATTTTTAAGAAAAACATATAATAGGATATAATATCGTCGTTTTCAGATTGGTTTCGTATTTGTTGAATATGATCTATTTAATACTACAACTTTTCTACAAAATAGCATAAATTTGACACAGTTTTATATCAATTTCTCGAGACAGGAACATCAGATATATGTATTATTCAACGCCTGAGATTCTCAGGTTTCATCTCTTACCCCCTTTCATTTTTCCTTTACAGTTCCTTTAACACGATACAACAATATTGAGTAGGCTAAACACCCTAAACGCAGAGATATGATAAAGAATAAAATGGCCACACGTTCTTTTTAACATTTATTTTGCTCCTTAACATGTGTCTTCTCAATACTTTTCATTAAATTATATATTCTAGTGAGACTATCTGACTTGAAGAAACTAATTAAAAATATATTCAAATATATACACATATATATATATCCCTCTCCTCATTACATTCATATCAGACATAACAACAGGAGATATCAAAATGTTCAAATTGCTAAAATTATTTTTCTATTAAAGTACTTAAAACTAACAAATCCTTTGTTTTTTCTTCTATTTCTGCTTAGTTTTCATTTTTTCCCGCCCCTTCTACCCCCCCCCCTTCCCCATTTCTTGTTTTTCATGTTTTTTGCATAAAAGATGTAATATTTTTTAAATTCTTTCCAGTTCTTGAAAGTCTGGTCCAGAATAGGTCATTTATTTTCTTTTTATCGCTATACTCGCTATAAAGTTAATCATTTATTTTCTAATTTAATTTTCTAATTTATACAATTTAGGGAGAAATGCTGGATTTTTTTACACTTTTTATACTTTTATTATAACTCAGGAAACCCTTGACTGATTTGCCTTAATTTTTGATTGGGGAACTCAGGAGAGCTTAGTTTTGAGATTCTAAGTTGAGTGGGTCTATACTGTGTACACAGCGGGACTTACTATGACCCTGGGCAACGCTGGGTTCCCAAACTAGTTTAACGTAAAACCTCTTTTTTCTCCAGGATGGAAATAAAGAGACTAATTTTATTGTTCACTTTGTTCTGTTGTATTCATGGATATCTGGCTCAGGTAAAGGATTAAAGGGACTGTTATATATTTTAATAATGTTAAAGGGACTGTTATATATTCTTACAATGTTAAAGGGACTGTTATATATTCTAATAATGTTAAAGGGACTGTTATATATTCTAAAAATGTTAAAGGGACCGTTATATATTCTAGTAATGTTAAAGGGACTGTTATATATTCTAACAATGTTAAAGGGACTGTTATATATTCTAATAATGTTAAAGGGACCGTTATATATTCTAGTAATGTTAAAGGGACTGTTATATATTCTAACAATGTTAAAGGGACTGTTATATATTCTAATAATCTTAAAGGGACCGTTATATATTCTAATAATGTTAAAGGGACTGTTATATATTCTAATAATGTTAAAGAAACTGTTATATATTCTAATAATGTTAAAGGGACTGTTATATATTCTAATAATGTTAAAGGGACTGTTATATATTCTAATAATGTTAAAGGGACTGTTATATATTCTAATAATGTTAAAGAAACTGTTATATATTCTAATAATGTTAAAGGGACTGTTATATATTCTAATAATGTTAAAGGGACTGTTATATATTCTAATAATGTTAAAGGGACCGTTAACATAATTTCGTGTCACCCTTCATGTAAAGATGACAATGCCCGATTCACAAAGCTTTATAAAATAGATATTAATGTTTTAATTTTGAAAATTGATTATCTCTAATTGTGGTTTCTTTACTGCAGGAAAACGTATATGAATTATTAGAATCAAACACTTTCAAACCTAGAATAACGACAGGTATCTTCCACATTATTGATCAGATTATGGTTTCAAGGGTACCCATGTGAATCGGGGCATTGCCATCTTTGCCCGGAGGATCCCATGAAATTGCGTTTACGGTCCATTTAACAAAAGGGGTAGTTTGGGTACATTTTTATAATGTTTTTTTTGAAAGATTCAAAACCACTCTGACAATTCCTTTTAGTTATCTTATAGTCTATAATGTACTGTACCGCTTGCCCTGGCTAGTTGAAATTCGGCCCGGTACTTAAATGAACATGGAATTTACCGTGTACTCGTGATAGATAAATAAAATGTTTATTGATTTGTACATTTAGATAAAAAATCAAGCAATATATTTGGGATGAAGGAATAACAACACAATAATGTAATTATAGTTTTTTTTATAGTGTTTTTTTTTCTTCAAAATTATAATCTTTATATTATTTACACATATCTGATAAATGTGGTTCGGTTTGAATGAAACATAATCAGCTGAAAAATTAATTAATATGTTTACTAATACAAATTATTTGTGAAATCTAGGAAGACCAAAGGACTTTTTCACAATCTCAGATTTTCTTTTCTCTATATCTTTGCAACCTAATGGTGTAAACCTGTGATATTTCAAACTTTTTTAACATTCATTTTTAATGTTTTTAACAAAATCTTTAAAAAGAGCAGTGATTTTTTATTCCTATTTTTTTTAGCTGATCATACATCCATATTCTGTTCCTCTCTTGTAGATCTGCGTATTCTAAAAAAATGCATTTTGAAACATAATTGAAACTAAGATTTTTTTCTATGTATCATTTTGAAATATCTAAAGTTGCGATATTGGGTTGCAAAGATAAAGGGATTAGAAAATCAGAGTTTGTGACAAAGTCTCAATTCCTTTTACACTCAAACAAAGTTTTAACGCAGTGATTTTAATACTAAGAGGACTATTTAACAAATCCCGCCACGCTTCCGTTCTTTAAATTTCTTCTTTGTTTGTAAAATATCACTAAAAGTATTTTTTTTTTTCAAAGTCTTTGGCTGAACTCGAACTAGTTTTTTTTTCAGGGTTCTGCTAACTACTTGGATTGTAATGGAGATTGCGGGGCACATGACTGCATGCCCCCCCCCTTCTTCATTTCACTTTATTTTCAAGATTTAATGTTATATTTAATATTTAGAATTATATTGAGGAAGTGTTTGATCCCCCGAGGGAAACCATTGACAAAAGGTCGTCTTGGAGCATTTTAAGGTACAACAGCGGCCATGACAGTTTTTGCGAAAAGAAACATACATTACTATTTACTTTAATTTACATAGACATTTATATCAATGTATTTATTAAGATATATATGGAGGGTGCCTAAAAAGTCGGCATTTCCTGTGAAACCTATTCAAGGTTTGAAAAGTTCAAGTAAGTAAGTTTGATTAATATATTTGTTAATCAAAGTTTGCACAAAAATTAA